CAGAGACCCTAGAACAGATTACTATCAGAATATATTTATTATATATTCAGAACATTCCTATACAGAACTATTAGTGTTCTATTGTCTCTGGGCTGTATGCATTCACCTTTGGAGATAGCCGAGTTCGTGCGTGACGTCACGACCATACTCTGAGCTATCGAAACATGCTGAGTGGCCTTACACTCACTCACTCCAGCCATCCCTGTCCGGCCACCCCTGCTGTACTGAAATCACTATGCCATCTAGCAGCACCATACAGGAAGGATGACGATGAGGAGAATGAAGATGAGGGAGAGGAGGAAGAGGAGGAGGAAGAGGAGGAAGAGGAGGAGGAAGAGGAGGAAGATGAGGAGGAAGAGGAGAATGAAGATGAGGAGAAAGAGGAGGAGGAAGAGGAGAATGAAGATGAGGAGAAAGAGGAGGAGGAAGAGGAGAATGAAGATGAGGAGAAAGAGGAGGAAGAGGAGAATGAAGATGAGGAGAAAGAAGAGGAGGAAAAGAAGGAAGCGGAGGAAGAGGAGGAGGAAAGGGATAAAGATGATGAAGACGATGAGGAGGATTAAGATAAGGAAGAGATGAATTTTAGAAGAATACTTATTACTAACAGAGGTGAACATAACGACGACGAAAACGCTAAGGATCCCGACAACGATCGCGCCTCCACCGCCGCGCGGACGACGCAGCATCCGTCGCCGCGGCAACGCTCACCTCCTTGCGCAGGGAGTACTGGCGCTCGCTCATGCGTGAAAATCCGGTCGTGAAGATGTGTCCGTCCTTCAGGTAGACCGCCTTCTGAGGCTTCGCTCCATCGTGACCCTTGCCAACCTGAAACGACCGTGGACAGATGATGACGGATGTGACACAAACCCTATCTCTTATCTCTAACCCTTACTCTAGCCCTAACAATAACACTAACCCTAACTCTAACCCTAAGCCTTGCCAAACTCTATCACAAACTCTAACCCTAACCTTAGCCCTTACCCTAACCCTAAGCCTAACACTAACCCCCTAACCATCGCTCTTCGTGAATTTCGCACGATTTCTGCCTTGCATCGCATGACACCTGAACACGAACACCCGTACGTTCCACCCATACGTTCCACGCTCACACGATCCCGCAACGGTTCCCATCCCCCCTTCCCTCCGACCGGCTCGCCGCCGCGTAGACGGGCGCCGCTCCCTGCCGCGCGCGCCGCCGCCCACCTGCAGCACGTCGCCCGTGCGCGGGTCTATGATGCGTATCTTCTTGTCCTTGCAGGTGGTGACGAGTCGGCTGCCGTCGTAGTTCCAACACGAGCTGAAGATTATGTCCGTGTGACAGCTGATCTCGCGCAGAACCTCGCCCGTGCCCACGTTCCAGATGAACAGCACGTGGTCGGCCCCTGCGGCAACCCCGGGAAGCCCCGCGTCAACAACGGAACGTTCAGGGCGGCGGGCGGGGGGAAGGGGGGTCGCCCAGAAACGTCGCGAATGGTTACGTCTATCTTAGATTCATATATTATGATTATATTTCTTGTAATAAGTGAAAATTAATGATAATAATAATATTATTATTATTGTTACTATTATTATTGCTATATATATTATTTTATATTATATTATATTATATTATTATTATTATTATATGTCATTATATAGACTGACGACGGACCATGTGACGCGTTGATACATGGAAGAAGAATGCTTGCGACACTCACCTGCACTTAGAAGTATGTTGTTAGCGGTGGGGTGCCACACCACTGTGCCTACCCTGCGCTGATGCGCCACCAGCGACACCACTGGCTCGTCCAGGTTAGATCTGCAACGACCAGGGTACTACTAAAGACCATGCAAAGGCTCAACACACGCGCGCGCGCACACACACACGCACGCACGCACACACACACACACGCGCGCGCACACACGCACGCGCACACGCGCACGCACATGCACGCACACACTCTCACACACGCATGCACACACACGAACCTGCGCGGCCACAGCGCACGTACCTACACAGGTAGCCTAACGAGCGATTCTCTCACCTGTGTGGCCAGTTCTCGGGTATCTGCCACACCTTGACCGTGCAGTCCTCGGACGCGCTGGCGATGACGTCATCGTTGAACGGACACCAGGCGATGTCCAGTACGGGTCCCTTGTGACCGGACACGAGCGGGTAGTCTCTCTCCAGCCGGCCCGTCTGCGTGGCAACGAAACAAACAAACGACGGTCACATCAGCTGTATCGTTCGCTGTTTCAATTCCGCTCCGCGTTCGCTCTCGTATTGCCACTCACTGGTTCTTTCATTTCTGCTCATCGATTCTTTCGCTTCTGCTCATTCACTGTCGGATTTTTTGCTCATTCACTTTTGTATTCATACTGATTCATTCATGCATTTCTACTCATTCCCTCTTGCATTCACACTGATTCTTTCTTGCATTTCCGCTCATTCCCTCTTGTATTTCCACACATTCATTCTTACATTTCTGCTCATTCACTTTAGCATTTCTTCTCATATCATTCACTCTTGCATATCCACACATTCGCTTGCCGGTTTATAAATTTTCCTACACGAATATCAAAGCTTTATGAACTGGAACAAACACCCGTGGGCGTTATAATAGTCGTCGTAACGCCTTCCTGGTTCGTAATTCTTACAATGATGATGATGAGGCAATATATGGCCAGAAATCATCGTAGCATAAATGACAGCCGGTTCGAAATAGAACAAAGATTGATGCAGCGATTGTACACACACACACACACACATGCACACGCATGCGCAGGCACACACGCACGCACGCACGCACGCACGCACG